ATATGACCAGTTTGATAACAGTTGAAGCAGGTTCCTACAAAACAAACAAACGTTGGAACACACCATTGAAAACATTATGCTCATTTATGTACTTGAATCTGAACCATTTCCGCCGCCCCGATTCCCATCACGTCCTCTTTGTGATCCTAGAAGGTCACAAAAATCTTACATTAGTAAAGAAAACAAAAACTAGGTCACAACAGGAATAGATGAAAATGGCAAAGGTGCTATAAAGAATTGGAATGCAAGATTGTACATCATTTCATCCCTGTTAATATTAAAGTAATTCACATACCATAACCTGCACGACTATTGTTTTCTTCCATGTCATGTGTATTTCGAAGCCTATTTCCAACTGGTTGATCGTTATTTCCATCATTATTAAAATTTGTTAGATTTGAATTCTGCTTCATTTGAGGTTCTAAGTCAAGCATAAAATATATCTAATATAAATTTTTTGTCAAACTTTCACATACCTTCGGCTGTGAGGGTTGATGGTTTACCACGTCCAAGACAGGATAATTCCAAAGTAACTGGTGTTCTCGTGTCACCCAAGGAAGACATACTAGATTCCTACAAACAAATAAAAGAAGCCAAATGGCAAGAGTTTAATTGAGACTAACTGACCACAATAAAACTTCATGCGTCATGTCATAAAAAGGCATCACAGATAAAAAAGGTTCAATCAAACAAGAAACTGTCAATTGTGTTTATACTCGAAGAATCTGCCGAAGATTATTACAACACAATCACGGGATAAAATGAGGTTTTTATTAAATCCAGTATAGGTATCTTTCGCACACTATGCTCGTTGATTATCTAATTTTCTCTTGAATATGACTGACGTACAGGCGTTGAGAACTACAAAACTACTGAACAAAGTAAACAACAGAGGCTCACGAAATTATAAAGAGTCTGTATACAGACTTTCTTTCATAAGCACACGTTCTTCTTTCCCAATTTTAACAACTACTGGGTATAAACGCAACACAACCTTCCTTGTGGTGCAGTACGAACGCTATCCCTACTTTTGCAAAAGTATACACACTTTTGGGACCTTAGCTCTGTTAAAGTACGGCTAACGCCAGCTATACACTAATCAAAGAAAAACATTTCATTTACCTGATTCGGTGGATTTGTACCATCGATATTCTGATCGTCGCTCATATTCGAAAAAAGAGATTACGATCGCGTATAAAAGTATCTAAAAGTAATACGCTGATAACATCTAAAAATAATTAATAAGTAGAAAAAAAAGCAATTCGCTTCGACCTCATTCAAAGAAGAGGCTACTGAAGAGATAATTTTCTTTCTCAAACATTGAAAAGCAGTGGCCGATTTATGAAGGATGCTATCTTATATGCGGAGAAAATTAAATTTCCGCTTTCAAGAAATGTTCTAGATCGGCTCTCAAGAACCCTCCTATCATACGAACCCTCAAAATGGGAGTTAGGCACAATAGACAAGAGTTTATTCCATTCCTCAGCGAAACAAAAACAAATAGAGTCCAATATGCTTTCTGATCATACAAAATCAATAATCATAAAACTTGTTATAAATATTTTTATTTGTTTAATAACTTTCTTCTGTGTTCTTGTATCTCATACACAAAACAAACTAACAGCTATTCTTCTTTCTTTATTTCTTTTTGGCTGCTGTGGTCGATGCGGCAAATATTTTATGTTTATTAGCATAACGTTGTGATTTTGATACAAATTTTCGTTTTTTCGTTTTTATTGCACTTTTAGCTAATAAATCTTTGGATTTCTTTTTCAAACGACCATATTCTTGATGTAATATCCTATTGTAAGCCGCTTTAGCATGCATCAATTTATAACGATCAAAATCACTCATTTTTCCACGTAGTTTTTGGGCTTCTAATTTTTTACACCAACGTGTTTCAGACCATTTTGTGTTTATTTGATGTTTATCCCATAAAGCTTTGACAGTTTTTGTATGGGCACCCGGTAATATTTTTAATACAAATTTTGTCAAATGCAATGATTTAATATTCACGGCTTTTCGACGAACATTAGATGTTGGACCATCCACGAGAACACGCGTTTGATCAATAATATTTGTTACACAACATAATTTACCTTTATCTGGACCATATGCTATATAGGCAACACGGCCGAGTTGAACAAAACGTTCATACGGCATTTTCGATTAACTGTCTATAATTAAAAACAAATTCGTCAGTAATTCAAGTTCGTTGAAATTCAAGAGCAACTTTTGCACAGAAATGAAGAACAATGTCTAAGAACAATATAAAGTGATTTAGCTTATTACGAGTAACACAGACTCTTCTGAGCTCACCAAGCAATTAAGAATGTTGACACCAATTGTTTTGTACCTCTCTCGAATTTCAAACTAAAATTGTTCACCTTTTTATTAGTCATTCTGATTAGCTCTAAACTTTCTTCAGCATTATTCTTCTGCAAAAGATAGACATTCTTATGAACTGAATTTATGATTTGAAAACTAGATATAAGCGAAAAAAAGATTGCACTCTCACTGTCTCTTGATCCAAATAGTATACTCACAGATGGAAACTGTAGAAGTCATGAAAGAGCGTTAGAGAGAACAGAGTTCACTCAATGTTAGTCCTTACTTTTCTGAAAAATCAACATATATGAATCCTACGCCAAGCCAAGACAACAGCTCACAAGGGATGTACAAAATATTTCTCAGTACGCGATTCTTTTCTTTTAGAAAAACTAAAATAATTTTGCAGATGAGAAACGAAAACATCAAAAGTGGTGAGAAACTTTAGTCTAGCAGATACGCTCCTGTTATCTATTAGCGAGAGTTCGCTCCGAGAAAAGCGTCAAATACCATATTTGTCTTCGTTATAAAAAATATGTAACTTAATCATTTTTGCAAACAAAACCTAGTTAAATTGCGGAGAAAGTTGTATAACTAAAAGAACTTTACTCGAGAAATTACCCACAATACGACAAAAGTAAACAGTAATAAAAGTCAAATTCTCTATCAAAATAATAAAAGAATACATGCAACCAATGCATAGTGTTAAACTATTTACACAAAATGCTGTCGTGAGTGTTCAAACTGTCTCATTGGAGTGCCGATGCCATGAAAACAAAAGTAAAGAACAAAAGTAGAAAAATTGAAATCTTTCAATCAAAGCTGTATTAATGACAAGAACCAATAAGACTGGAAAAATATGTAACAGACGATAAACTGCAGTATGAGAGATTTTCATTTATATTATTCTTTTTTCCTACTCCTGCAAATGCAGTCAAAAAAATGGTGGAGAATCAGTGACTGGATGGAATTAAAAAAACCCATCTAATATATGAAAAAAAGTAAACTTTTTGTTGTTTATCGATAACGTGCCTATATGCATTGGATTTATTTCTTTAATATGAATACTGTCATGGCTGCCATAAATGAACCAATCAAAAAAATATTTATGAAATGTCTGCACGCGTTTGTTTGTTCATTCGCGCTACGTAGCTAAGTTATCTTGTGTTTGATATATTGTGCACAATTAATGGAAGAGATAAATCCTCATTTTGAGAATCATATGCTTGGTTGTTTAAAAACATTGTTAGAAACATTTAACGTGATGTAATGGTTGTAAATGTTCTGAATTATGAAATACAATGCAGAAATATTGCAAGCACTGTGTAACGCGTTAAATTATTTGAAACGTAAACGACAACCAACGACAATCAATCGTGTTTGTCGTTATGTCGAAGAGCATAATTCAGGTTTTAAACGTTCACTAATTCGAGAGACATTTCGTCAAGGTATCGATGATGAACTTATTAACGTAAGAAGAGCAAACGCATTTAAATATTTTGTTCTCATCCTACAATAAACTTTTTTGTTTTAGCGAATTGAGACAAATAATTCGAATGTAAATGAATATATATGTGATAATAATAATGAAATTTTAATAAAAACATTAACTACTCACAATATGTCTTCCTCCTCTTTCTCTATTGATACAGAAGTATTAAATAAACTCGTTCAAGTAGTTAAAGATCTTGATAATGAAACAAATTCAGGTTGTTCAGGAAAAATGATTCGAGATCATATAAGAACTAAAAATAGAGAAGTAAATTCATTAACAAAAAAATTTATTATTAATGAAATGGAGTTATATTCGGCATTGAGACGTTGTGTAGCAGAAAATTTAATCGTTAAAGATGATGCTGATAAACGTTATAAACCAATTCAACGAAAAACAACAATGAATCGTGATAGAAGATATGAGATGAATACAAGACAAAAAACTCCACGTCACCAAGTACTAACAGCCGGATCGATAAAAACTTCAGCATCTTCTAATAAGCAACGAGCAGATTTTAGCGAGAAAAAGGTGTTTGTTGTGTAATTTTGTTAATGACATGGATGTTTTATGTCTTTTTACTTTTTGCAATAGAAAGTGGCCAAACCAATTTTGATATGTGGCTTTTGTTTAACTACGGCTGAGAAAGGCCCTCATGGACATCCCGAAGAAATGATTAGTTGTTCTCAGTGTGGTAATTCAGGTAGTATTTCATCAGAAATTTATACTTCAAATAGCCTCTTGTCAATTTTCCATTAATTTTATAGGACATCCGTCATGTTTAAAATACTCGGATCAATTAGTTCAAAAAATAAAAACGCTTTACTGGCTATGTATAGATTGTAAAAAATGTATTGTTTGTACAAAATCTGACGATTCGGTATATAAAGTGTTTTTTCTCTTAAACTTAATTGGCTATGATAGTCGTTTCAGTTAACTTTCTTGTAGGACCTGTTAAAACTTAATTGTTAAAAATAATTAATCTGTGTCGACTTTTCGTTTTAGTTGCTATTTTGTGACTTCTGTGATAGTGGTGTACACATGACCTGCTGTGATCCACCATTGATTCAAATTCCAAAAGGTAGTTGTTGAATTACTATCTAAATAAAGCAATGTTTCATTAATTATATGTATGTCATTGTTTAGATGAATTTATGTGTGATTTTTGCCGTGATGAAGGCATGTCCAAGGTGCAAAATAAAAGTCCATCAAAGAAACGAGATAGTATCAAATTCAACAGGTATAATTATTTTTATATCGGTGTTTCTTTGCTGCTACGTTATTTACTTTTTTATTTCATGAAGGAAATCTTTTACCAACGCGTTAAATAAAACTCGTCCCCATAATAGTAAGAAATATAAGGACAAAGAAGAAGATACTCCATTGACACCAATACTATCTCGATCTGTTGCTCAACTAATCGATGGTATGACAAATTTTTTTCTTCCAAAAAAACAAAAACAAACAAAATCTTCCACAGTAATATTGCCTTCAAATCAACATCGTCAAAATTCAGTACAGAAAGCTGCTCAATTTTTAAGAAAGAAAAAGCAACAACAGACAATTAAACGTTTAAATAATAAAAATAAGCATTTGAACAGTAATAATAATGGAGGAAATCGTTCGTTAGCAAAACATGTTTTAGCTGCAACGAAAACTGAACGTATTAAACGTAAACCAGTACTTCTTGATGAGATGATATTAGGTAATGATCCACAGAAAACGATAAATTATTCAGCACTAAGGTAATTGTCTTGATTAAAAATAAAAACAAAACTGCTCTTAATAACTTAATGGTTTGTTATAGTACACCGTCGTCATCTCGTTTAAAAAATTCCATTAGTTGTCCGATAGAAACCTCATCTCGTACAAGACGATTAGTACCAAGTCAAGAATCTATTAAACATTCAATAACATTATCCCCGGAGTTTCTGAATAAAAGAACACGTGTCAATTCTCTAAACAAGAATTCGGATAAACGTGACAGCAAGAAGACAATGAAAATGATTGATACATATGAACAGCATAAAGAACTAAAACAAGAAAAACAAATTAAAAAGAAGAAAAAAGAATGTTTAGATAATGAAGAGGAGAACAGTGATAACGATAATATTCAAAGAAAACGTCAAAAATCAAGTTCATCAATCACATCATCAAAACCAAAGAAAAAACGAATGCTGATGAATATCGACTTTTCAAGTATGTGTGTTTCATTCGATTTTTTTTCACATTATAACACGATTTGTACATTAATAAGTAGACGAGAGTCAGATTTATCAACATTGTTAATACTATTTTTGTCTGATTGAAAACAAGTGAAATTTATTCAGAACACTGCAAAAATAATTAGTCTAATTGATTGTATTTTTTATACTCTATTAAATCACATACATAATATATCGTGATCTAATTTTGGGAAATAAAAACTTGTGATGTTTTTTACTTTTAGAACATAGTGGTGCACCGGCATTTTTAAAGAATGTATTACCGAATAATATTACGGAGCATGATGTTGAGTTATTTTTAGAAACAAGAAAGAATGCTGCTAAACTTATTTCGGACGTATGTTTCTGTATTTTCTTTTGTTCTTATTATAAGACATAATTTTTTTCTTTTAGTGTTCGGATAAATTTGTTCAACAGTCGCCATCAAAAAACGTCGACGAACCATTTCGTTGGCCGCCATTCATTGTATTTGGTGGTGGTCTAATTAAAACATGGTATTCATCATCATATCCACAAGAGTATGCACGTGTCCCACGGTTATTTATTTGTGAATTTTGTTTGAAATACATGAAATGTGAGGAAGTTTATGAACGACATAGAGTAAGTTAGAACGAAAACATAAATTTGTTCGAAAGCCATTGTGATCTCCTTTTAAATTGAGTATGATACTAGCATTCTACTACTATTCACTACTTTAATCAACATTCTGTCATTAAAGCGGAGTTCTAACTTCTCAACAAAAGCATCCCTCATTCTAATGTCATTCTCTGTTTCTCAAGTTTATGACAAAGACAGCATTTGAATATAAAGCTCCACTCAAAATAATTTTCGAGCAAACGTTCTAATATATATTGTGATCTGATACATATTTTTCAAATAAACTTAGTTAAATAAATATCTTAAGTTCATTGTCCTATTTTGTTTTTTAGCAAAATTGTCAATCTCATCATCCACCCGCCAATGAAATCTATCATAAAGACGATATATCCGTATTTGAAGTTGACGGTAACATCAGTCGCATTTATTGTCAAAACTTATGTCTATTAGCCAAATTATTTCTTGATCATAAAACATTATATTATGATGTTGAACCATTTTTATTTTATGTATTAACACGTAATGATCAAAATGGATGTCATTTTATTGGTTATTTTTCAAAAGAAAAACATTGTCCACAAAAATATAATCTTTCGTGTATTATGGTATTACCTAATTGTCAACGAAAAGGCTATGGACGTTTTTTAATTGAATTAAGTTATTTATTATCTCGAAAAGAATGGCAAGTGGGTACACCAGAAAAACCATTATCCGATTTAGGTCGAAAAACATATGAAACATATTGGGAATTTAAGATAATTAAACAACTTTTAAGTTATAATTATTATGATAAACATCAATGTAATTTCAAACAGATTATGTATGATACAGGCATGGCAGTTGATGATATTATTGATACATTACAAAATCTTCGGATATTAACAATGAAAACAGATGGAAAGTAGGTGAAAAGAAAGATATATTATTAAAAATAATTATTCAATACTCTTTTTCGTTTAGACCAGTGATTACATTTGATGTTGAGCATTTTGAAACATTACTCCAAAAAGAAAATGATAAACATAAAAACTGGATTATCTTGGATCCTGAATTTTTACGTTGGACACCTGTATTAACACTACAATTATTGACAAATCAAGAAAAAGCAATTGAAAAACAAATGCAAGATGTACAAATCGTATTCAAAGAATTTGAGCGTGATACAGAGTAAGTAGTGCTGTTTGAGATCAAATGATACGTAGAGAGAGATATTTTTTATAAATTTTTAATATTGCATAATCTACCTGGTGTCAGACATTCTTTTCTATAGAACTTTGAGAAATACAATAGAATAATATTAGCTTTCTCAAAACGGTAGTTTAGATTATTACACATTCAAGGCAGCATAAGTGAATTTCATCCCGTATTGAGTATAGGTATTTTTTTCTCTTCAGAGCTGCAATCTCATCGCCTACTAAACTGAATACATCAGCAGACGGTACAAGTGTAATCCGTTATATCAGACGACGTAAATTTGGCAATAGACGAAAATCAGTGTATGTTAAATGTCGAAAGTCAATTAAGCTGGAAAACGATACGACAATCAGTGAAGAGAAAAATGATAAAGATATATCGCCTGTTATGATTAATAAGAAAGAGAAGGAAGAAAGTTATGATAGCAACGATCGAACAGCACATTCTTCACAAGGACAAACAACAGTTGATATTGCGTGCGATAGCCCAAATTTAACAATTCGTAAAATATCGGAAGATGAAAAACAATCAGTATATATGTCGAAAAAACGAACAACGTTAAAACAGCCAAAATTAGATCAATTTTTAATTGAAAAGAAAAAAGACACATTAATATCTAATAATTTTGATAATAAAAACGATAATTCAAAAGATGAAAATATTTTTGTATTAAGCATTGATAAGGAAGATGTGGAAGAAAGTGATAATCGGACATCATCAAATGAAAAGCTAACACGAACATTGGAAAGTGTCACATCAAATGAAAATCAGCAACATCAACATAAATTAAGAACTCGACATTATAATAGTGGCAATAACAGTATGTCACGATCTGATACAATGATTGCGACAAATGGAAACAAAGTAATAGCACAAAAAGCAAAAGGTTTGTGAAAAAAAAACATAGACAAATCGGCATACTAAAAGATAGAACACATTGTTTTTCGTGTCTAGTTAATCACAATACAATACGTCAAATCAGTGATGGCGGTTTGTCAACATCATCATGTGAGAGTATGTCAACAGGCACCATGCCGTTGCCATTCAAAAAACGTGCATGGACTTCATCAAGTCTTGTAACACTAGGAAATCTAACTGCGGATACATCGACAGGATCTGAACCGACAGCTGAGGTCAGTTTATACAGTTGATACTCCCCTTGTCACTAAGTGTTTTTGCAAACGGCTGGCTGTAGCATGTTGTGTTTAAAATTGTTTGATAAGCTAAGTTTTTTAGCTGATGTACTAGTAAGTTGGTTTTTTTTGCATTATCTAGCTACTTTTACTACAGTCAGATATATCATGATTTTTGTTAGTTCATGTTTCACCAACATCTATCCCTTGTGTCCTGATTGATTTTGTTGCATGCGATGCTTTCCGATCTTTTCTCCAAGTGCTTTCGTATCTTACCTTGTACGCTTGAACTGATCATAGGAGAAGAAAAAATGTTTTTTTTTGTTCGAGTGTCTCTCTTTTAGCTTTGTTCTTTTTTTGTGTTTGTTTTAGAATTCCAAAATAGAATTACCCGTTGCTTTATCAACAAACAACGACAACAACATGGTAAAGAGTGGATCTGACTCACTATCAACAACTTCATCTACACCAAAATTATCATCATTAACGTCGTTGTTATTTAACATGAATGGGAGTCATTCAAATAATGATTCAGATACAGCAAGTTTAACAATTCCCTCTACACCTTCGTTATCGGATATTCTTGAGCCATATATCGAAGCAAAAAATCAACAAGAATTTTATCGTTCTCAGTCTCAACAATCAACTAATAGTTTATCATCATCAACAAATGGCAATGATGCTGATGAAGTGGCAGAGAAAAGAATTGAAAAAATTGAAAAAAGTTTAAAAATAACAGTTGAACAAGATTTATTTAATCCATCGAATAACAATACTATAGAGGATAGCATTCAAACAAGATCATTTTCATCGGGTATGGATGTATCATCGTTCTCAACTTGTTCTCCTATCACCCGACGCCGCTACCATCTGATGAAATCTAGAATATCATCCGAATCATCGACAATAGTTTCAAACGATGATAATGATCAACCGCCAAGTCTCACATGTCCAACAGATATAATTGTCTCAACATCAAATCATTATAATCTGCATTCTTCTCCGAAGATCCAGCAACAACAACATCCGTCGACAAATCATTTAGCAATAAATAATTCTAATCATAATACCACTATACCTTATAATTATCAAGATGTAGCAACGGTATCCGATTATCCTTATCCTCATTCTCCATTACAAACACAACAGCAAAAACAATCACCATCACATTATCAGCAGCATAACGCAACATCAGCCAATCATTTTCCACCGTCGTCGACTTCAGCAGCATCATTGAATTCATTTTATCCACAAGTAACTTATTATCCACAAGTGAATTATTATGATTCTCTTACACCTCCATACGTACACACGAATTATGATCAACAATATCCTACAACATCAACTGTCTACGATAATAATTTCATTTCTGATCAATGCGTGTACGATTCATCATCGTATAATACGAATACAAACAGCAATCATTTAACCGCTTATAAATATCCGACAAACAATAGTACAAACACATCGCCAACACATCCTTGATAGATAGACTCATTTTTCCTTTGTGTATACATATCTTTCAAACTAATAGTGAATACTTATTCATAACATTGAACGAGTTTACAGGAAAAAATTCTCTATTTCATGTAAATTATTGTCAGATAAATAACGATCATTTCTTTTTCTTGCCATGAACAAACACCGCTTTAAACCAGAAATAGTTTAAAGCAGGAATTGTGCTTGTTCTTGAGAGATAATTTTGTTTAATTTCCATCTTTATTTATATTTTGTTTTGGAAGTACTTTAAAATAGATTTTTTTCTATTTTTTACGTTATTGTGTGTATGCTTTCATTATATTCTTTTTTAGTTGGTTCGCTAACTAAAATTTGTTTGCTTTTTTTCTCTTAGTTTATATTCAGAATCTATCTTTTTGTCTAGTTTTACGAAAAAAAGCAAAAATAATTCTCAATCCTATATATGTGCTCTGTTGATTCTTTCTCAATCTAGATAACTGTGTTTTGACAGCAATTGGAAATAGATTTTCAAAGACAACAACATTCTTTCATTTACTTTTCGTTTTATTTCGTTGGTTTTTGTATATGATTCAACAGTGTTTTTCATTGTTTCATCTTTATTGTATTCATGTTTTCGTCCGTACCAAACATCGTAATTAATATGTATGTAAATGTATGTAGAGAGAAAAGGATAATTCAATGAACACATAAACAGTGGTGTTGGCAACCGAATTTTATTTTAATTATTAGACGGGGAACTGATCATATTCATTTATATAAATATTAAATTTCATTACTATTTTAATTTTTAATTCGACTTTCATACACTTTAAATTGACTCTACTTTCGACTTCACTGATCAGACATTAACAGAATGGGATTAACAAAAAACAGAACAACAGTTAAATAGCAAGTTTTGATAAGTAGTTTACAGTGGGTCATACACCTTAGTTTTTGACTTTTCTCTGCGATTATACGAGCTAGAACAAATCTGAAAAAGATTTGAATTGCTGAAAGAGTTTCTAATCTGGTGTAATACTTGTAAAGATCTCATTGAAATTGTTTATAACTTAGGTATCTGAAAAGCCCAAACCCTAGAGAATCAAGTCTCGAATTCGATTGAGAAACTTCTTGTAAACAATTCATCGTATAGACCAAACGTTTCTGTTTAGAATGAGATATCTCTGAACTTTTCACGACATGTTTCCGTGAAACTGCATTCAATTGATGAAACCTTGTAAAAATCAACAGAAAATCAGCAAAGTGTTTAGGACTTTTTGTCACGAAAATATGCCGTGGAGAGCTCAGAGATATCTCATTCTAAACAGAAACGTTTGGTCTATATGATGAATTGTTTACAAGAAGTTTCTCAGTCGAATTCGAGACTTGATTCTCTAGGGTTTGGGCTTTTCAGATATCTAAGTTATAAACAATTTCAATGAGATCTTTACAAGTATTACACCAGATTAGAAACTCTTTCAGCAATTCAAATCTTTTTCAGATTTGTTCTAGCTCGTACAATCGCAGAGAACAGTCAAAAACTAAGGTGTATGATCAATGTTTCGACTCATTGTATCTTTCTTCAGCGGTTATTATCATATTATTGTTGTCATTAAAAAGGTGGTTAGAATGCTCGCCAGAGAACACTCGATAGAATTTGCAGCAAATGAGTAGTATATTTTGATTTGTTGAGACCACTAGGTGTCTTTTAACATGTAACCGTTTTACTTGGTCAAAAATTTAGAGCAAAACTGCGCCATAATTTTCTAGAATAAAAAGATAAAAAGGTATAAAATAAAAATATCTGTAAACGAAACAAAGTAGAGCATATACGATGGTTCTATTATCTTTATTTTTCTAATTTAATCTACAAACGTAAAGGACTACAAACGCAGATATTTAGACTTCTCTTAACAATGAATTCTATAATTTTTTTATCAATCATATTTTCCTATATTAGAACAATGGATTAACGCAAAGATAAAGAAAAAAAATGCAAAGAAATTTAATAAAGCATTCCCATTATTTGTTGTATTAAACATTAGTATATTTCATCAGTAGCAACGTCATTCACTAGGGTCACACCACTTAATCATGATTAACGATTTTGTAGTGTGATCACATCCTTTTTTAATCATGATTAACACTATTTTAATCACAGTTAAATAAGCAATGTGACCGCGCTAAGCATGGTTAAAGACTGAGCGTGATTAAGAACAGCAAATAAATAGGGAAAGTGCTCTAAAATTGGCTCATTTTTCTGTCGGTTAAGTGAACGATGAAAAATGTTACTTTTACTAAACATTATTAAACAAAAAAGAGTATTTACAGCAAAAAGAAAAAACAGAAAAGAACATGTGTCGAGCCCCGATATGCTGCTATTATTTTTTCCGTTGGTGAATTGCTTCACAAAAGTCGAACGGTCTGTTTGGCAACGTCAGAGAAACAAAGAGTTTTTTGAAATCGAGGTTTAGAAATTTGACGATGATACTTTCAAGAAAAATTTTCGTGTGAGTAAACAAGTATTTCAATATTTGTTGACAGCAGTCGGTATGGATACGACAAAGCAAGACATAAAACTGCGTCCAGCAATATCAGCACCTAAACGATTAGCTATTGCATTATACGCAATGGCATCAATAACCGAGTATCGATCGTACGATCGGTAATTAGTTTGGGGTATCCAAGCCTAGCGTAATCAGCATTTCCGATGAAGTCGTCGATATAATGGTGAAAAAACTTAGAGAAAAATTCATTAATTTTCCAATTTGATAATTATGCACACATTTAATCATGATTAGAGCGGTCACACTATATTTAATCGCGATTAACACTAATCGTGATTACGCTATTCATCTTTTAATCATGCATAAAGTTAATTATGACTAGCGAGTTAATCGTGATTAAGGTTGTAGTGTGACTCTAGTGATTAAATAATAATAATTCTAATTATGGTAGAATCAAAAAACTTTTCGGTCGGTGTACCCTTTTGAAACCATACTGATCATATAGATCAGAGGTGGGCGATGGACGAGGATCCTCGCGAGACCCTGCGATTCCTCACGGGGTGGTCCTCACGAAGGAAATTTTTTGAAAGCTGGACGAGACACGGGGCGATGACGAGGCGGGAACATTTTTTTCTCTTTAACGAACGACGAAATGGAGATGTTGAACGTAATTCTTTCCAGTTCACTTGACAAATATGTACTTATTTTTTTTTAAAGTTATATTTTCTTAATCAAAGTCTTACTGAAAAAATTCAAGAAGTCAAGATCTTGGTTACAAGAAGTTTGACTAGGGTTATAATTAATCAAAATAAACATTTGCCTTTAAAAGATATGTGGAGAAATAAGTAAATGTATTTTTTTCTTTTTTTGTTGTCAAACAAGAGTGAAATTAACCGCTTTTTGTGTGGAATTTACTGTATTGTGTAAAGAAAAATACTGCGGTTTTCAACTGCGTGTTTTACTATTGAGGATATCGAAAAATATGACTTTTCTAAGCAACACAATAGAAGACCTCTCTAAAATTTGTGAACGATAGGACACATTAGAAGACCCAGGGTCTTCTAATGTGCCCTGTACGTATATAATTTGATCAATATTATCTATCCAAATGAACAGTAGCTGCGGTCATTTTTTATAACTTTTTAACGAAACAAGATGAAGACCTGCGACTTCCAGTGCCTTGTAGCCAGGACCTGACAGCATCTTCCGATGTATAAATCAGTTCTATCAATGAGGTCTACCATGGTGCATCTACTCGATGTTCCAAAGGCAGCATTGCCGCTTCGTAACTTTTCATACAAGTCTAATGTTTGAAAATACGCCTAAAGTCGAGCGACATCTGATTTACATATCTGCCAAAACCCCACAGCTCCATCTCTGATCGTTCGCACAGAAGCGGACTTTTCTTGAGATACCTCAGAACTGGATTTTCTTTATATTTCAAAAGCTGAAAACGCATGAAAACATAGGTTATCGACTACGCTGAGTCTCGTGGCAGCATTTGTTTTCTGAAAAAAGCTCAAAAACCTAGTGAAAATCTATATTAGGTGAAATAACCGATTTCTGCCTATTTTCGCGTAAAATTAGGAAATTCATAACTTAGTCAAAACCGATCCAGGCTACCTCAGAATATCAAGATACACTCGATTTTATCTACTGAATGAGATTCTATAGGTGAGAGTAGTGTAAAATATTCTATTACTTCGAAAGATTTAGAAAATCTTTTGAAAAACCCAAGTATTTTATGTTGATTTATAACAGTTCTATCGAACTCCATGCTATGCTGCTGATAAAATGACGATGGACGAGGCGGTAACGGGGTAGAAAGCTTACGAGGCGATCCCCGCGAAGTAGATTTCTCGAAACTTGAATCCCCGCGAGGGGGCTAAAGATAGTTCATCGCCCACCTCTGATATAGATTCAAAATTATCATACGACATCCCCCTCTCACAACTGAACACCAGACAAAAATTAACTCATAATTTGGTTCCGTTCTATTAAACACAAATATGTGCTGTGTGCAGTTCTGTGATATTTAGGTCACATTTAGAATGGGATAATGTAAGAATAAATGAGGTGTAAGTTTGAGTACTTACAGTAAATAATAAGGAGGTGAAATATGATCAAGTCTTTCCTCTTTCTGCATTACATGACAAGTTGAAGAATTATGTCTTGCTCTCTTTGGTTAAGTTGAGACATACCGAAAAGAACTTTTGATGAATAATGATAGAACTGACGTTTAGTTTAAGTTTTATTTTTCCAAACTCATTATAATATTTTAAAATTCAAACTATCGAAAAACACTAAATTAATTTTATACGAACACAAGTTTGAATTCGAGATCTGCACGAATTTAGAAATCATAACATAAACCCGACACGACACAAAGCAGTATATGATCAGGTGCTTCTTTACTTGAATTTAAAATGTTTCAAATCAAGTTCTACCGTTGATTTTTATATACATTTTCTTTTGATATTTAGAATATCTTCTCACTTTGTAATCATCACGACTCTATTTTAACGTTTTCATTTTTTGATTTATTTATAAAAATGATCTCCAAATTTTGTCTCTCGATCAATCGAGATAAAAGAGACAGTTACAGACAGCGAGTTTCTACAGATAATCTCAAGCGCTATCCGCTCTCCTATCTGATTTTCTTATCAACAATCAAATCTTATCTATTGAAGAGAAAGTTGCAGATACGTGAATCAGTTATAATACAATTGTGTTTATTTTGTTAAAGATATGAGTACAACTATTGCTTCAAAACAAAAGGCAATTCAATTTGGTCAACGTGTATTAAATTTCTGGTTTTCAAATGGACGTTGGTCATCGAAAACTCCTCCGCCAAAATATGAGCCTGTTGATGAAAACGTTCAAAAATCATGGTTTATGTCTTCAAAAGACTATGATGAAGAAATACGTAAAGAATTTGAAAATGATATACAACTCACGGCCAATGATTATTATCAAGTATTATATATGGATAATGATCATTTAAAACAACATCCTGAACATACATTAGCCTGTATTATTTGTCTCGATCAATTTCCTCGAAATATTTATCGTAGTACACCAAAAGCGTTCTCGTACGATAGAAAAGCGAAAGAGTTAAGTATGATAATGATTAAATATAATGTTGATAAACAATTGCCATATATTGAACAAGGATTTGTCTATTTACCATTTCAACATAGTGAAATATTGGAAGATCATGATTTAAGTGTTAAATATTGTGAAAATGTATTAGATGAGGGAAAAAATGACGAACATCTCACAGATGATGTATACGACTATTTAAAGAATTTTCTAGAATTTGCTAAGCAACATCGAGATATTATTCAAAAATTTGGTCGATTTCCTCATAGAAATTTGATATTGAATAGAATAGCAACAGATGACGAAGATAATTATTTAAAAAGTAATGGGTTGCGTTTCGGGCAATAAGTTTTTGTCGTGTTTATGTGAAATAATATAGAAGACTAGTGCCAGACTGTTTGTAGTGTTAATTTGTAAATCGTTTTTTTGAGAATGGTGTTAATTTGTAAATTGTTTTTTTGAGAATGGTAATACAACATTATTTTTTATGTATATTATCTCGAAATATAGTTATCCCGGAATATAGTTTAGTCGTAACGAAATTCTTTTATCTATCAGTAGATAAATTCTTGTTATAAAGTCGAGATTCTTTTCATATGTAATCTAAAAGGTAAAATAAATCGTTCTTCTGGGATTTAATTAGTTTCTACTTTGCTTTTCTTCGTGAAAGCTGATGAGAATAATTGATGTTGTATTATATTAAAATATACAGATGATGAAGTTTCTCAATCATACAGGCTAAAATATACTTTTTCTTCTTAAATCGTATATCGTTCTGGCTTGTAGTTTGGATAAAATGAGAAATAAGCAGGAAAATAGCATGATTTTGATCCTGTTTGATAAAATTTTGAAAAAAGCTTGTAAAAGATCTCGGTTACGAAAAATAAATCTTTTTATGACAAAAGCATGGAGGAGATCATGGATAAAAGCATGTAATATATCTTGTTTTGTCTATATGATCAAAAAACATGATTTAGATCTCTGACATTGTGCATATCGTACAATGAAGTAGCGATCTAGTTGGTCCAATTGTAGGGAAGTTTGAAAAGAATATCAACGTAACTAACTAAACATGTACATGTTACATAACACAGTCATTAAAGAAACAGCAGAGGCGCGATCAAGTTCAAGTACGGATGTGTCTATCTAATTATGCGTAAGCTACCTCAGGTAAAATAAATATATTTTGATAAAATAATAATAAAAAACCTAAATTTTTTTCACATTTCTGTTCACAAATCTCTAATATATTGATCACAACATCACCGGCAATAGAGGGTAACCCTCCGGGTTGAAAACAACGGCACAGAATTATAATGAGCCAAGAAATAAGGCAAGCACAAACTTCTGGCCTAAATAACAACAAAATCAGACACCAGTAAAAATAACATCCATATTAGCACCACTTATTCTATAAGATGTAAAAAATAACACGATTTCAAGTGAACAAGTTCATCGGATCGAGTATGTCCTATTTAAATTAACAGATGTACAAACAGATAAGGATGGAACATTCACATTATTTACGACTGATGTGAAAAGCTTCAACCGAATTATATTAGATCTTGCCAAAGAAAAATTCGATAATACAAACCATATCAAAGTCTTTATACCACGACAGTTCTTGATACTGACAAGCAGGCTTTCTTAAAACAGACCGATATTGAAATAATAGCAGCAGAAATTGAAAAATACAGCCTCTGGTTTTCAATTCGACAAAGTGGAACGTCTAAAAATCCACACAAAAGGAAGAGAAGGAACAACAGTAAAAGTAACATTTGGCGATGTTCATAATCGCGATACGATCATACAAACTGGTTTACAATTTGATCATATTAATATACCAGCAGAAGCAGCCAGATATAATAATAAACCCGTATAGTGTTACGTCTATCTCGGTTATTAACATATTTCACAGTATTGTTGTGATAAACAACAAATTTGATCGCGATGCTCGGGGCCGCATGATGTGAAACAATGTAATAAACCGAATGACTAGATTAAATGTAAAAATTGCAATGGTCAACATTTAGCAACATCTCGAGAATGTAACAAATATAAAGAACAAGAAGGAACTGTAGCAACGTATTCATCATACGTCACTCTCTTAACATCGACGACGAATTGGGCAAAAGGATTCATTTCTCATAACCACAAAGAATGTTGACTCAGTTCTTCTTGAGTCAACATTCTTTCTTCATTTATATATAGTGTGTGTTTGTACACATCGGAGTTAGTTTTTCTGTTTTAATGTGTTTGTGATTTTATTTTTTGAATAAAATTCAGTGACAGGCTAGCAAATGGTGCACTAGCCGGCTCACTGTCAATCCAACATCGCAGTAAGTATCAACGAACCTATTATATGTTGCAAACCACATCTGAAACAAAGATTAGATGAAGTACAAGAACGAATTACATAAGAAAGTTAATTACGTGAGCGGCTCAATGGCTCAAGATCGCTTCCAACATATATTAGTACCTTTGACAAAAAGAAACTTGTTTGTGACACCATACAAATTTTTCGGTACATGCGATGTCAGGGTGACAAATTGGTTGAAATATCTCACGGATAACTTTGACGTGGTATCAATGAGTGAAGAAGAACGATTGAGGATTATTCATACATTTTTATGTGACGAAGCGTTACTTTGCTATATCAAGAGGAAGAATGACATTGAAACATGGAGTGCATTTATCGAAGAAATGCAGAAAGAATATTCAATGGAAGAAAAACACCATCGTCAAGATGCAGATGGTCAAAGGAATTTTCAACGACATGTTTATCATCAACAACATGTGCAACGAACGTATGATCAGTATTCAATGGAGACTATGATCTTTGAAGGAACAATAACAGTGGCGGACTCAGGAGAGTTAGAATAGTCGAAAGAAGGTGAACCATGGGCCGATTGTAAGATAAAACCACAAGGCGAAAGATTTCGAAAAACATGAACAAATGAATGTGATCTATTAATTAGTGGTACACAGTTATCAGCAACATCAGAAGACGGAGAAGAAGAAGAAATTACTGATGATTAAAAAGTACAATTACCAAATGATGTTATCGAGACTATGAATAAAGAGCGCCCATTTTTATTATCAAAATTATATGATACGTTGAAACAATTATGTTTTAAAATGGAAGTGCAATCATTATCAGCATCATCGTCCTTATCACACTTCATTTTATCTCTTAGTGGTCTATCATCGGCCCAAGCCCCATGCTTCTGTGGTGATACAAGTGGTGGAGAAAGTTTATTAGCAACAAGTACTAATGATATTTGCCAACTAGTCGATGGTGGTCCTATATTTATCAAACGTTTATTGGAACATTACAAACTATTTGGTGATTGGAATTGGTTATGGTCGTTTATAGTGCCTTGAGCAACAAAAGCCAGAGATAGATAAATGTTACTTAAAAGATGGTGGCAGCATCAAAAATTAACATCAGTAACAGTGGATAGTTCCACGAACAAACAGAAATTTTTTTTCGCTTTTCTTTCCAATTTTCTTCTGAAGCAACGTCGTTGAGCTACTACATTGTTATATTTTTTAAAATGACAGTTTGTGTTCTTTATTGTTGTCACCAATTCATTTTTTTTCCTGATGGGCTGGGAGGCTCATCTTGAAGCTATGGGGGAGTGTTATGTCAGTCGTCACTGACATTCCTTTCTCTTTCTGCTTTCGCTATTCATTTCTCATAACCACAAAGAATGTTGACTCAGTTCTTCTTGAGTCAACATTCTTTCTTCATTTATATATAGTGTGTGTTTGTACACATCGGAGTTAGTTTTTCTGTTTTAATGTGTTTGTGATTTTATTTTTTGAATAAAATTCACTGACAGGCTGGCAACATTGAAAAACACATCGTCAGGACCTAACAACATTCATAATAGTTGCTTGAAAATCATACTGCATCTCTGGTCAAACATCTCACACGATTGTTCAACAACTAAATAAATCTTGGCTATGTTCAAATCAGTGGAACACGCTTATCTCATATTGCTGTTAAAACCGACTAAAAGAAACGAAGGATCATCTAGTTATCGTCCCATCAGTCTATTAAGCTGCATTGGGAAAACAATGGAAAAGATCATAAAAGAACGACTGATGACGATCTTCGAAGAAAGGAACATCTCGCCCCAACATGAAGCTGGTTTTAGAGCACAGAAAAACACAATATACAACGTTATAAGGCTGCGAAATTTCGCCGCAAACAATTTAGAAAAGAACAAACATTCAGTCGTTATCTTTTCTGATATTAAACAGGTCTTTGATTCCGTTCTGCATGAAGGTTTGATATACAAATTATTTGATCTAAAGATACCTGAATACATTATGCATTGGCTAATCTCCTTTCTGTAAGAAAGAACGGCAGCAATAGAATTCGAAAGCCTACTATCAATTAAATTTAGACTCAAATGTTTTTAGAACGCCTCAAGATTCTCCTTTATCGCCACTACTATACATACTGCATACTGCTGACTCGATGAATGAAATACCAGATCACACGTCCCACGGCCTATTTGCAGATGACACGTCGTTATGGGCCACTTGTAATACTACTTCAGGACTCAATAAGCGCCTACAACAATCTATAGACGCATTTCAGTGATGGTGTGAGTGCTGAAAATTGTTACTACAGCCAAAACTGAAATGCTTCATTTCAGTCTGCACCCTCGTAAAAAGTATAAAAATCCAATAGAAGTACTAATAGGAACAACAACAGTACGTTCAAAGTCTTCTGCAAGATATACAGGTGCCATTTTCGATAAAACGCTCTCGTGGAAACAGCATCTTAAACACATTAAACATCGTGTGCAAACAAGAACTAGTCTGCTGAGATTTCTCTCAACGTCATCACCACAGTCAAATCCTAAAACAACGTTAAATCTGTTTAAATCATAAAATCACAGTTGGCATTTTAACCAACTTGTAACGCCTATAGAAACTTTCTCTGTATTTTTCAATTCTTTTTTAACTGACAAAAGACTTCATTCATGTGACAGAATTGTAAATGCTATTCTTCAGGTTTAAAGAAAAATAAACTGCTGTTCCCTCATCAAAGAAACGTATTGCATCGTTTGACATTCTATAAATTCTTTATATTAGCACGCACATTTTTGCTGTAACACTGAAATGTCTCACAGAAATTGGTTAATAATTTCTACAATTGTTACTAATGACAATATGTCATATGCGAGTTAATAAGATGTAAAATGAGCCTTAGCGGAAGTTCATGTCTATTCGACAGAATCCGACAATCTAGGCACCAGTTTACACTCGTAGCCCCGACCGATACATTGTCATTTACGTTGGAATTTTCAAAAGTTCGTTTTATTTTTATCTAATTTTCAGTTCAGAAAACAAGCAACTCCCGCCATTCCTTACCTCCTCTTACATTTTCATTATGTTTAAACATCAGCATTTCGTTAATACATTATTAACATTTATCTTAAGTTGTGTCACTTATATTCCTAATTTATCAATCTTGACACTGTTTATTTCCCATCTTAATCAGTGTATCAAACCGGATGCCCGCAGCGGCTAGTCCAGTGATCCAATGGTTTTGACGCATTATGACACATTTTACCACAGTACGACAGATGCTCACATCAACTTTGCTACGTTGATCCGTGAACTGTAGTATACATTGCGGCCTTTCGTCCCCTTTTTATTGGTACATATTTTAAATTTGTTGGTACTTTTGTGCCCCAATGCTTCATCAATAAAGTTAGAGTGAAACTATTCTATTAAAGAAGTTTCTGTGCATAAACATTCATTAAAAGTCTTAATGTTTGTACATTGCTTACGGAGTTGTTCAAAAATTATTTATCAACTGCATACAAATGTTCTGAATACAGAAAATACCCAATCTCTAATTATCAATTGAAAATAAAACAATATCCTAATGATAATTATGGAAACGTCGTACAAAAGGGCGTCTTAAAAAAGCGAAGGGAGCTTTATCAAAAGATTAGTAATTCAATTTTCAGTATTTCTCTGTCTCTTTCATTTTTTTGTTAAATAATTGAAGCTGAGCATTTACTGGAGAACTAGTATAAATTAGATGGATAATAAAGATAGTTTATGCACTGAGAAGTGCTATGAGTTCTAAAATATGTTTATCTTAGTATAGCTAATTAGGTTTTTTCTCGTGATCTAATCAATCATTTCGCCATAATAAAATTTAGTTTTCGTAACCGAAATCTTTTACCTGATTTTTCTTAAAATTTTGTCATCCAGGATCGAAAGAATGTTATTTCCATGACCTTTTAGATTCACGTCCTTGTAGTTATGCCAGTGTCGTGTCGTCTTACAATATTCGTCTACTTGTTCGATAAAATTCAGAAATTTGTTTAGAAACGTTTTCAGTTATCTGCATGTGTCACTCTTCTTAATTAAACAGTCAAGACTTTATTTTTTAGTTAATCATACTATGAGCACAAAGTAAGATGTAAACATAATCTATCCATGTGACCAGTGGCAGTGAATACGTAGGAGTTAGCGCATTATCGTGATAGTTATGAGTAATAACATGATTTATATACACACACATTTTTGTTTTATACATTCGTTTCAGTTCTTATCAATTTTTCTATCACAAAGAAACAACAAAAAAAAGAAAAAAAAAAACAGTAAGAAAAATATGTAAAATTTAAAAAAAAAAAAAGAAAAAAAGAAAATTGCTTTGTCTATATAATCGATGACAATGTGTTTGTATATGTGAATAGTATTTACCCATTTTAAAAACATTATTTTTCTTTCTTTTCCATTCTTTTTCATACATAAAGCATAAAAGAGTAGTCTACGTATAATATATAAGGAAAAATTATATCATATCAACATTTCTGTCGTGTTTTACTTTGTACTCGATATTATTTTGTTGAACGTGTGTTGAATAAATCTCAATCAATTCTTTATACATACATAAAAGGCAAGTAAAGGATTAAATACACTATGTATAATTTGAAAATTAAGATTATTTTGTTTAAAGGTCAATGTATAGCTATTTTCAAGTTCTAAATTGAGATCACTTTTTTTTAATAAAATATGGTCTCATTTTGAAAGTCATAATTGACATCAAACAAACATCAGAGGGCGGGAAGCAAAGTGAGTGTGAGTACAAGAAATAGTGGTCTTAATTAACAAGTAACCACTATTTTTGAGTATATAAGTTCTGGTTTACGATTATTTGCCTTAGCACAAATGTATGCAATTAAGTACTAGACTGAGATGAAATGATCATTTTTGTATTTTTTGTTTTTAAAATTGTTTTATTATTTTTTTCTTATACTGTTAATTTATTTTTTTTTTATTTCCAGACTTTAACAATTATGCCTACATCACACGATGATACACCGGATTTTCGTGAAGCGTTTTTATTATTCGATGATCGTGGTGATGAACGTATACCTAAACAATTATTTGGTGAAGTAGTTCGTGCTGTTGGTTTAAATCCATCTGAAGCAAATATCAAAGGTACAATACAAGGAATTAAAGGTGACAGAATATCATTTGAAGAATTTATACCACTCTATGAATCTTTAGCAAAAAAAAAAGATAATATGAATGAAAATGAACTAATTGAAGGTATACAATTTTGAATTAAATGAATTTGATTATTATAATTAATTAAAATTATATTTTATAGGTTTGAAAGTATTTGATAAAGAACAAAACGGGTTAATGTCATCTGCCGAACTTCGACATTTATTAACAAATCTTGGTGAACGTTTAAATGATGATGAAGTTGAACAATTATTAGCGGGTGTTGAGGATAAAAATGGAAATGTTAATTATGAAGAATGGATAAGAAAATTATTAAAACATTAAAGTGATTATCTAGTCTTCAGTTTTTGTTTTTATGTGCATATTTTAATTTTTTCGTATTTATTTCAGTGATATAGTTAAAATTTTCATATCCTTTTTTTTTAAAAGAAAACTAATACATTCGTATCTATTTTTTTAATCTCTGTATGTAATATAAAAAATCTCAATAATAGTAGGTTGTTTTAATTTCTAAACAAATTAAACAGTAAAAAAAATTTATTTCTCCCTTATTATTATTGTTTAAAATATAATAAAATGACGCAAAGATGGTAGTTTGTGTTTTTAGTTTGGAATTATGTGAAACTTCGAAGTGATTTGTCAACTCGCACGATGCTATTTCATCCTTATTGTATGCTAATAATCATATATTTAAGGGCCTCCCCCCTCAGAAATGGTGATTTTCGATGAAAAAATCGGTTTTGAGATACGCACATGGAAAGGTAGCCTGAAGTGCCTACTTCCAGAATCTGTATTGCTTTTGGTTACAGAACTGTTTTTTCGGGGATTTTGAGCAAGTTTTCTAAGAGCCTCGAAAATCCGGGACTTCAAATAATAGTTTTTCCCTGGATACTTATGCAACTGAAATTTTTCTGAACACACAGCTTTGTAGAACACACATTTCTGATCAAAATAAGACCTTGCAGAACTCTGTATGACCTTGCATCAAAAAGTTACAGGCATTTTCCTAGAACTTCCAAAATCGAGTATTTGATATAGCGCTTAATATAGCGTTTTCACTATATAAGAGTTACAACTGAAGTGCGTCCCAAGATTTTTAGTAGCGGTTTGTTGTAGAGAGTTCATTCTTTTTTTGTTTAAGAGAGGAAAAGAAACTACATGGATTGACAGAGAGGGGGCCCTTAAAGCGTTTTCTGAAGATTCATATACATGATTCTGTGTTAACGTTGTGAATACAATAACAAAAATTCAGAACTTGACAAGAAAATGACTTATGCTGTGCACTTGATATGCAAACTTATAATAAGAAGTAAATTTAGCATTTCAAAGAAGAATTTATAAATTTTTCTCCATACTCAGGACTTTTCTAATAAAATTTGTTCAAACATAAATCTTTTCTGTTGTAAAATGTTTCAAGTTCACTGTGATCAGTGGAAAAATATTACTTGAGTTTTAAATAGTGCGATTGAATATAATATGTGATTTGATACATATAAAATCTCTTTGTATGTATGCCTCATCAATGAAAAAATAATGAACTGTATTTTTCTTCTTTAACATTTTCTTCAAATTTGATGACTACTGACGCTATGCATATCTTCATCCATTTTTTTTATGATATTTCTGCCAACCGGTCATTATCAAATAAACAATATTCGAACAGAAAATTGTACAAAACCACTATTTTTTACGTATGCATGAAAGAAAAGGAAAATTTTTGGACTCATATACATCACGTGAACAATTACATATCATATGTTTAATATCTCGAGATTAGCGAAAAATAAAGATGTCATCTACAGTTGGTGTTACGTGAACTAATGCAAGGTCTGATAAATTCACTGATGATAACTCTTGTCTTAGCCATGCAGGCTTTTCACTGATCGTTTTAGAACACTACTCGAAAGGACTTATAATGTGAGGGTGCACTCTACATCATAGAAAGTAGGTATTGTTGTACAAATAATGAGAAATCCCATTATTAACAATCACTATTTATGTTGTTCATTGAACACAATTTCTTAATCTTCATTTTGTTCATGCGTATCCAGTGTTTCGCAAGAGCAGCCTTCACTTCATAGTGCTCTGATGGTTCTTTTTTGCTGTTAATAATGGTGCATCCTCTATATTAATTTCATCCAAATTTTTAATATACGTTGGTTATAGGCCTCTGATAATTCACGATTTTCTATTCTTTCAGCGGAACTACTTTTCAGTTCACATTTACTGGAAGAAGCTATTTTTCAATTTCTTGATCTAACTAGAAATCGTTCAACAATCTTGTTAGGAACGAGGACTGATTCATTACTTCTCGCTCCTTTGCACGAGAATTCCAGTTCTTTCTGATAAAAGGAACTCTTTGACATACTGAAGCTGTGTTTCTGGTGATCTGGTAGTCCTCTGTTGTGGCATGTCAGCGAATCATACGGTTCCAGGCAAGTACAACTACTTCATGTGCTGTTATTCTTTTTACGTACTTGTTTCTAAATAAAATTCAATAGACGCATTAATGACAAAAACAATACAAACTGCCTTTTGTCTTTTAAAAACATCGGCATTCTTGTTGTTGTGGAGGCTTATGACAGACGATTTCTTTTCTTCCAAAACCAATGTTTATAACGTATGCGTGATAGGACGGACAGTCCAAAAACGAAAAATTTTGAACGTCTTAGAAGAGATGTGACCAGTGCATTGAGAAACAGCGTAACTATTCGAAAATTAGTTTTAGTAAGAATATCCTGATTCGATGCGCCTGTCTGTACAACCTACAAGTCCCACGTTTTAACCTCAGAAGTCACTTTCTTTCGGAGTTAAAGCAATTTTAATGAGTGTGACGTGTGTTTTTACGATGACTTTCCACGATATATCATAAGAATAAGTCGACACTGTAAACCCGTTTATGGCTTATCCTGTAGAGTTTTTCTTGGGCTTTAAGGTGCACAGTGCGAACCCTTGAATTTACTTGATCGATAATAACACTGGATCTTTCTCTTCATAGGAAGTGTAAAGAAAACATGTATTAAACATACCGTTTATAATAATATGATATATAATGATGTTCTTTTTGTTCTGATAGATATAAAAGTAAAAAAAGTAAATGATTGAAGTTGCATAAAACCGTACCGAACTTTCAATCTCTAAAAGATCATTTTCCACTAATTTTTTATGTACATTTCACTATGAAAAGCAAAATCCAATATTATTACCGAACAAGTAAATTTGAAAATTTGTACATAAAGTTTCACATTTGTGAACATATGGTTACAAAACGGTACAGAATTGTGGTAGTAGTATCCTTCTTTCAAATGTTGTTTCGAAAAGCTTTTCTATTGGAGAAGATGAATGAACACTTTAAGTGTTAACCGTTATGCTTCGAAAACAGTTCAGTCTAAAAAGCCCTAAACAGTTTTAGTTAACACTGTTTCAGTTCCGTCTTCAAGAGTAATCCTACAAAAAAAAGGAACGAAGTTCACTCAAGGGGGGAAAAGCACCAGTTCGTCACTTCACTTCACATGAAACTCATTTCGCATGAGATCCGCTTCACGCTAGTCAAGTCAATTTGTGACATTGTTATTTCATTGAGTTTTTCCAATTTTTTATTTTTTACTTTTTGTCTTCGCATGAAATTTTTATCTGACAAATCTATTTATTGCCCCGCTCTCAGTTTTGTTTACTACACGCATGTAAGGTGAACTGCCCATATTTAATTCCTAGCGCCTAAACTTTGCTGGTCTCCACGCTAAGCAAAAATACATCGACTAATATCTCTCTAATTGATTTATTCATCTCTAGTTCTTCATTTCCACTTCACCAGTTCACTTCACGAACACTTAAATCACTTCCAGTTCACTTTAAGTGGAGTGAAAGTGAAGTGAAGTGGTGCTTTTTCCTCCTTGAGTTCATTTATAATAAATTGTTTCATCAATTTATGGCTGAGCTAAAAAACATATTTTGCGTAAACCTCATTATACATTTAAGTGGTAGATTATTATGAAAAGATGTCAGAGACATGATGTCAAAAAAAATTGACAAAGAGTTTATTTCCATCTCTTTGCACATAATAAAAAGCAAAAACAAACGCGAGAAGTATATGAAAAGTGCTGGGACTACAACGACTATTTCCCATACAAAATTTTGTTGATTTTTTAGCCAGATTCTCTGTAAACTAGCTCTACAGCTCTTCTGAGCGATTTGCGAATAGTTTGTTAAGTTTTTTCTTCTGGATCTAGAAACAGGTTTTTCAAAAAAACTTTGGATTTTTGAGATAAAATCTACTTTTAGCAGTCCAGTAGCACTGTTACTGGAAACTAATGTGATATTTGGAATCAGTGCATAAGGCTCCATCGACTGACGTATAATTTTCTCCATTTTCAGAATAAAAAGATTTTCGACAAAAATTTAGGACAGGGGTCTCCCTCAGGGATTTTTCGTATGAAAAGTTTTTTTCCAAATTTGGGTTTTTTAATTTATAATAACATTTGAAACGTAATGGAAAATGTGCAGAATTATAGTAGTAGCATCTGTCTTTCAAATGTTGTTTCGAAAAGCTTTTCTGTTGAAGAAGATAAATGAACATTTTATGCATTAAGTATAATTTTGACAGACTAGACAGAACTTTTCTGAATGTGTTTTACTATCATGAATGAAATATGAGATTTTCTGTTCTCTGTGAAAAAAGCAACAAGAAAAAAGCGTGAAAACAACATTTTAAGGCCTATAATGAATTTCCTATGTTCATTTTCTCTTCTGTACGTCCGTTTGTCAACACTTTTTTCTCACTATTGATCATATTAACATCATACTCAGCTGCGTCCTGATAGTTATCACTTATATCAATATTCGTTTCATGAATTAAAAAGGATTGTTCATAACCTAAATCTGCCACATGCCTATAACGTTTTGATAGATAATACGATCCTATCGCAAATAATAAAAGAATTAAAAGTATAATGGACATATGCCACACAAAATAGTAGGAGATTAACATCAATGTTCGATGTTGAACAGGATCGTTAGCAAAATCGTAATGGGCATGAAATGGACTATACAGAATAAAAGCAATTTGATAAAACCAACTACCCTGTAGTACCGTAAAATAGGCACGCATCAGTGTAGGATAAACTTGTTTTGGTTGCGGTTGGGCTAATTCACATATACTACTTATAATAATGGCACCAATTGAGAGAACTAATAGTATATGCAATTGAATGTCAACAGGATCACGGGCGTGAACATGAAAATAAAATAGTAAGCCTTCAGCTGAGAATGCTAGAATACCAACAACAACACCGATATGTGAAGGTAATGCAATATGATAATGCTGTAATAATTCAACAATACCAACAAGAAAGAACATGAAATACATTGTAAAATGTTGTAAATTGTTCGCTGCAAAGGAATAGGATGATATACCATCTTGATCAACGGTTTTTTCTAAACCAGTGCCTAACTCGACCACAATTCCTAGTGAAGTACCAAATAGAACAATAAATGATTCCAACGGTAGTTTTAGACCAGCTGAACAGCAATGAAATGGAAATGATATTGAAACGTAATAGGGTTTTTGACGATATCGGCAAATAAAATAGCGCAACCATGCCGAATGCATCCACCATAGACCAAGAAATATGAAAATTGATCCAGGAAGTGCATGTCCCGGGAAACTACCCATTACTAAAATAATGTTCACAATTTAATCATCTATGCCCAAACATTGTTTCTAAAACAAAAACCGCTATATTAGATAATTTTCTGAAATTATTGAGACGTGAAAAACGTAGAAAACATAACAGTTGGTTGAGGGAAAATATATAAAAAACAGTAGACAGAGTATATGAAATCAAATTTAACATTTCTATGAACCAACAATAAAAAAGTGAAGGAGCATCAAATTGAATTAACGAACATTTTTTGAATTCATAGATATTTACTTGACTCATTAGAATGACTTTCTGACTAGTCAGTCAGAAATAAAAAAACAAAATTCCATTGGGGTTTAATAGAAATTAGATATGCACTGGAATTGAATTTTAACGAATCTCATGCTTTCTGCACTATCAATCAATCGTTTGAGCTTTCTATACTGATTAAACATTTTTAGATATTAGATCACTCGTTTTCAAATAATACTTATACCTTTTCATAAGCAAGATTTCTGTTTCTCTCTGCTAGTCTCTCTCCATTCCTCACCACATTCGATAACTGTTTGAAATTAAACTCCAGACAAAAATACTACGTTTTTTTGTTATAAGAAATGAACAAATAAGATTCATGCTTTCCCGTTATACATCTAAACCTCAAATCAAATAGATAAAAATTATTCCTATAAGAATAAATTAATTGAGAGAAAGAGAGAAAAAGATTCTTCTTTAACAAACCATTAATGCTTGACATTTTGTTTTAAAATAGTTCGTTTTTTGAGAATTGAGAATATCAATAATGTATTTAAATTTCTAGATGTATGTGATTAAGTAGAAAAAAGCACGATAAATATATTTGTCAGCATTTATCGTTAGAAAGTGAGAGATCGATGGACAAGAACACTTCTGAAATTGGATGAGACGAAAAAAAGAATTTCCATGAATTGTCTACCTGGTGGTTGTAAGACCATTTACGAGTATCAATGAGATAATGGAATTTCTTTCGTGTGAATGTTTAATGGTTTTCATTTAATCGTTATTTATGAAAAGTGTGCAGTTTATGATAGCTGTTATATCAGTGCTATTAATAACGACAGTATTTTATGTTTCTTTTCTTCTTTTTTTTTAAATAGAAAAGGATGGTTATAAATGCTTTTTTTTGAATTACTTATATAATGTGTACAATAAACATAAGATTCGTGTCACTTATCATAAATATCTAATATTATAGAATTTTTTTCTTTTTCTTATTGGTACAGACATCCATCCATCGATTTGTTCCTGTTTTTGAATGAATGTGCACTGTTTCAGCACTCTCAGTTATCTTCCTCTCTCTCTCGAAATCTTGGCAGAAACACGGTAATAAAACACAGGAAGAAAAAGCATACTACGAACTTTTTATATGCATAGAAAATAAATAATATTTGTTAAAAAATCTTATCGTTCTTCTTTCTTTTTTTTTTGTTAAGATGAGAAAAGTATCAATAAATAGTCGTACTCCAGTGTATTTATCTACAACAGAGACAAAAAGAAGAGAAGAAAACTAACTGCATATTAATGACGTTGATGTTGCTGGTTTTACTATTATATTTTTTATCTGGAATATATTCAAAAATATTGCAGAAAAATAAAGAGAGAAAAGTAGTTAGATTTTTTACTATGTGTGTTCTTTTACATTTGGTTTTCCTTGTATTAAAAGGAATATGTTTGTGTCAGACAGACATGTCTCTTTACAAGTCAACAAGTTTTTCCCAAGGCATAAATGCTCAGTACAGGCTCCTCCCGCCACTCTATCGCCTTGTTCATATGTGGGATCAAAAAGCAACCTATTTAACCTATAACTTGTTTAATAAAACAATATTAGATTGTCACCTGTCGAAGAAATTATGTCAAAAGGGCAAATCAATTTTAGTTTATTCTTGTCTGTTCGAAATTTTTATCTGTAACTGAAATCTGTTGAATGTAACAAATGTGATGAATTTGTTATATAATGACAAAAACGACCCAATTTTTTGGGTTATTTATCTAGATTCAGCTCCACGTGCATCTGGATGTTTCTGAACAAAAGTTAACGGGTCCTCAACTCACCAGTGCTACTAAATTCTTAACTTAACCGTAGACAATAAGCAAACTGGCTGTATGAGTGATTATTCAGAATTCGCTGGAAACGTATTGATCAACGTAGAAAACAATTTTATGTAACAAAACTTGATCTAAGTCATTTTGCTCTACTTTCTGAATTT